GCATGTGTCAGTGGACAGTGGCATGTGTCACTAAAACCTGTGACACATGTCAATGGACTGCGTCTTGTGTCAGTTGCCGCGGTGCGTGTCGCACCTTCGGTAGTGACTGACACCTGCCGCTGGGTGTCGCTGCATAATGTAGATTGTGTGACACACGCACTTAACGGCAGAACGATATTGAATTATTTAACAGTAGCTGTGTCTCATTTAGAAGGCTGCGCCCTCCGGAGGTCGCTTACTCTGCCTTTAAGTAGTGTGAGAGCGCAACGATGCTCTAAATGTGTTGGCATAGCAACGTGATACTTCCCGTTTCCTTTTCCGCCTGTCTTACGAAGGCAGTCTCGTTTAATTCTTGGTTGAGGACACTTCGTATATGCATCCTACAGAGGATGCGACCTCCAGAGGATTCGACCTCCGGAGGGCGCGGCCTTCTAAATGAGACACAGCTAGTATGTTGCTGTCAAACATACGATTTGCGGAGTTCATTTGTACAACAAATATTGAGTTCCTATATTAAGATTAAAATGTGTCTTATACCCCTTAATGAGTATTTTTCATTGTAAGTTTATTTCCAGTAGCCAGTTCCAGTTTTGTGCAATGCATTCAAATACGTAAATACGCGTTTTTTCATTTTTGCATAGATTTGACAGTTCAGCTGTATCATTTGTAATTATAAAATAATATAGAGACTATGCAGAGACCATAACAACAACAAAAAGAAGAAGAAGAAAAAGAAACGTTTTAATCAAGTGTGCCACCACAAACTGATACTTGCCAATCAGGATTAATCAAATGTGCCACCACTAACTGATACTTGCCAATCAGGAATTAGCCTACATATAAATATAAACTGATGAGAAAATGCCACAAACCATTATGATGTCTACTATTCTAACGTTTTCAGAAAAGAAGTGTACAACGGGTCTAGTGAATTCACCAGCTGCACTCAGAAAACAAGTATATTTCTCTCTCCTCAGGGTTCAGTGCTGAGATCTCTGTGTTTGTTCAGACGGGAGATTCTGTTCAGCTGGATATACAGACACAAGAACTACCAGAGTTTGATGATTTATCCTGGAAAACAGATAAATCAGAGAGTATAGTTAGATATACAAGTGAAACTAAAAGAGTAAGACTTCACTCTTCCTACAAGGACAGAGTAGATTTCAATGATAAAACCTTCTCTCTGACACTGAAGAACATGCAGAAGACAGACAGTGGACTCTACACAGCAATAGCAGCTGGAGAATCAGACAACAATATTGTTACATACAGAGTATCTGTTATAGGTGAGTGTGATTTTGCTTGGTGTGTTCCGGTCACTCATTTCTGCTCGGTCTTTATTTTGTGCAATGTTATAGGTCAGGTAGTAAAATGAAATGTTTGTATCTTAAAAAATGTATATGAATGTATTTTTATTCAGTTTATCTGCCACTAGTGCTGGGTGATATACTGGTTCAAACGGTAAGCAGGTTTAAATTACGCACACGGTATGAATAATAATTTAAAAAAAGGCATACCGGTGCAAGCATAGATGTGTATACATACCAGAGGAAATCCCTAACTGCATACACTTCTGGCTAATGGTTAGAGAATTATTAATAACACAACTAATTTTTTAACTGGGCAAATAAACCAACTGTAAGCGGCCGTTAACAGAAGCCAGAGACGCTGAAGACATGAACATATATGAAGCATGTTTGTTTGGATCGTGATTAAACACTGTGGTTCTGCAACTGTTTCATGCGTTCTTAATCATATAAAGGCACAGTTAGGGAACAAAACGTGATAAACTGTGAAACCGCCAGAATCCTAAAAAAAAAACCATGATACGGATTTTTGGTCAAACCGCCCAGCACTATCTGCCATTCCACGAACTGTAAAGTTTGAGTGCACTTTCAGACATGCACATGCAGTTATGATGCACATTCTGTAAACAGCTATTAAAATGTAATCTTACAACAGTTTCAGGATGTATTATTTACCCATTTCAAACACAATGTTGCTTATTTTACAGTTGATCAACTGATGTAACTTTGTGATACCTGTTTTTCTTTTGTTGTTTTTTTTCTCCATTTTTTTTTTCAAATGTGTGTTTCAGATGCTGTGGAGGCTCCTGTGCTGACTATGAACTCAAACGGGTCCAGCAGTGACTCCTGTACTGGGAACTTCACATGCAGAGCTCATGAGCTCATGATTGACTCTAGCTATCAGAACAACAGCTGCTCTAAAAAGGAAGTGACATCACAGATCAACACTCTCATCCTGAACTGCAATCAGAAATCCATCATCTGTAACCATAGCAACCCTGTCAGCTGGAAAGAAGACAGAATAATCATCACACAGCTCTGTGACGATAATAAAAGTACCTGACCAAACACACACACACAATGCACATTAACACTCAAATCAAGTATCTCATTTTGGTTTACCAAATCTAGTCTAGTAAACTCAGAAAACCTGAGCTGTCGACTGTAATTGTTAATGATATACGTCTCATTTTCCAGAGAACAACTCAAAGAATGTCCAGACAGATTCATCTCTCCTGGTGCCAGTAGTTGCTTCGGTGGCAGTGATCATTTTGATAATAATATGTCTTTCAGTCTTTCTGTACTGCAGGTGTAAAAAAGGTATGTCCATGTTGCCTCACATACATTCTCTATGAAAAACTGATCTCTGTTCATAAATTTAATCAATTAAGTACTTTGCTGATTTGTAAAGTAATTAAAAAGAATGATGAAAACTTGTAGATGTCCTGGGAACTAAGGTTGACTTAAATTGGGAACTAAATGTCTTTTCCAACTTGAAAACTATACAGTCACAAAGAATTGTTTATTATACATAATCTGTGCCAATGTCGCAGACCATAATTATTTCAGCATCACTTGGCCATCACTTGAGTGTAGTTTGGGCTCCTCCTCAATGCATCCTATAAATGCTGTCATATGCATGCACACATCCAGTCTGTTTTTCTTCATTATTAACATGCAATTATATAGGAGGTGTTGAATTTTACCATTAGCTCCTTGCATTCTTTCTTATGTAGCCTAACAAGTTAAGTAAAACTATGAATATGCAATATAGCAGATAAATTTAGCAAAATGCTCCTATTTCTAGTTATTTTTTCTAGCTGACTGATGAGCTTATGGACGCTGAATGGTTATTCTGAGGTAAATATTGTTACATGGCATTGTTTACAAGCTTGACACGTTTTCCGCAGTTTGAAACACTGAATGAGCTATTACATGAGACATTTCAGTAAGATGTACTGTATCTTATAAAATACCTTTTGATGTCCATTGTCCACTCATGTTAATTTCGTACTATAGTGGTAAAGAGAAAGATATGATGGGTTCATGTGCCGCTTGAACTGAGGCACTAAAGCGAGCGCTAATGCCGCATTTAAGAGCACCAAACTGTATTTTTATTTTTTGAATTTCGTAATGAATTTGGCAGAATTGCTGCCAAAAGCTGATACATTGTTTATTAAAATGTAACAAAGCACAAAGCTTATTGCGATTATTGAATGGCAAGTGAGCTACAAACAATATGAAGTTCACGCATTAACAGAACACAGCATATACAGTAGACTAAAGATCTTGATAACAAGAAGCCACAGTATCGATTATAAACGAATTGTTAACAATGTATTGTTAATGTCTACACGGCTGACAGCTTTACCTGTTGTAGTTTGTTCAAGTTGTGCATTAACACTGTTTTTCTGCACTTTTACTTCGCTCGTCTCAGTTCTCTCATGCCGCAACAACCTGAGCTGCTTTTAGCAGGTGTGCCGTCAGCGCTGCTGCTCGACAGAGATGAGGAATGATTGAAAGTCTTTTTTCCACTAAAACTTTGATGCGCATCATTTCAGTTTATTACGTCAACATAACAAAATATGTGATCGCAAAACAAGTCATTACATGCAAAATTTAAATCATAACATGTACATTTCTATAGTGGCGACCTCAGCAAAAACTTCACTCGCAATTTGTCGCAAATTAATATTTTCAGTCACGTTTTAGTCGCAGTCTGGAGCCCTGCATACTATCATACTACTCTTACTATTTCTGCAGGATCCAGTATGTATACTGTGCATAGTATGCAAATTTTCTGTACGCATGGAATACCCGGGTGACCTACTATATTTGCCAGAATATGCTAAATATAACTCAAGTACACTGAAATCAGTACAGAAGCTGTGTTTGGAATGACAAACTACCATACAACTCCTACTATATTGCAGTATGCAATGTGTATACTGTGAATTGTATGTGAATTTTCTTTATGCATGGAATTCCCGGATTACCTGCTACATTTGCTGAAATCTGATGTATGCATCTGTAGACACTGCATGGGATACTGTTTCCCACAACGCAATGCGCTCCATGTGACGTTTCATCTTCAAATGCATGAGTGAACTGGAGGCGGGGGATAGTAATTATAAATGTAACACTTTTATATGTACCAATATACATGTTACTGTAAACTACAAACTAATGCTCTGTATCTAAAACAATATCATTAGTAGGACATAAATTGTAGGGTTACAAAGGGGTGGAAAATTTCTGGAAACTTTCCAAAAATCCCTGGAATATTCCAAAAAATCCTGGAAAGTTTCCACCTTTTTCCGAATTTCGAATATTTGTCAAATTTAAAAATAAAAATTGAATTTTAGGTGTGCGTCAGGCTGCCTTATCAGTGGCACACAAGATGCGATGACGATGTAAGTGTCGTTGCATTTTAATGTTTTTTTTAGCTTATCCAGTTGAACCCAGTAGATGCAGCGCTGCTACGTAGTTCATTCAAAATATTGCGGGAAAAGAGAACATCAATGCGGAGATGTTGTCGTTTACGTCAAAACTGAAACCAAACCGTTCACACAAGCCGAACACATATTTATCACATTTTCTAGAGGGACATCTATCACCGTTGCACTCGCATCTCGCACAAGAGAGTCGCATGTTTAGAAAGCCATGTAAAATTTATGAAAGTTCAACTTTTAAAAAACATGTCTCAAGACTTTATGGTGGTTTTTCCCCCATCACACTGCATCTCATGTTTTTAAAAGAAAAATTATTTTTTGTGATTGGTTTTTGGTGTTTTGTATTAAATACATACATACATGATGCTGTTTTGTTACTAATTGTTTAAGTAACTTAATTATATATGGTTTATAAACATTATAACACAATAAACATTATGCACTTTTTTCAAAGATAGGCATGTTATTTTATTGCTTTGAAGAAACGTGCATTAGTAATATTTTGCTCGATGCGCCCTCTTGTGGCCTCAGGAGAGGAGCCAAAAGCTTTTTCCCCCTAACTGAAATTATGCCTTTTAAATTTGAATATAATTCGAATATTGATAATATATAAGTACAAAATTAGAATTTAGTTTTTCAGACATTTTGACAGCCCTAGTGCTTTATACAGTACAGATTGTTTTAAAGATATTAAATAATTACAATATTGCAGTAATATATTATATAAATAAAAATAATATTTAAATTATGCAAAAATAATTCAATTTAGCTGTAAAGCTGCTCTAAATAGAAACGGAGTGTCTATTTACTCTAAGTACAAATAGCCCAATTTGTTGGCAGAGACTACAGTAATTCCACCCACCAATGCCTGGCTCCGATAAACAGCACTGCAAAAGACGCCTGTTTATCTGCAGCATCAGCAGCTCAGTGAGTAAAACACAAAGTAGGCCTAATTAACGTGATCGACCCGTGTTCGAATACGCCTTTTGCCAAACTCTTTCTTCTCATTTTCCCATCACATATCAGATCGGAAAGGAAATATTTGAAAATTAGAAATTAAACACCTCATTAATAATACATTGTTATTGGGTATGGTTAGCGATAAGTGTAGGGCTTTAATGTCCCAATAATTTAATAATATTAATAAATGATCATTTACTCTCAATATGTTATTACATACTGTTTTATAATGTACTACAGTACTGAAGTATAAATATCTGTCACCCAATCCCAATTCTACCCCTTAGCCCTTCCCCTTTCCTGTCTCGATTCTCTTTTGGTCGGAGGGGTAGGGGTAAGGGGAAGGGCCAGACAGCCCTTCAAACGAAGAGTTTTCGGGACCACACTTCAAATGAAGGGGTATGAATTATCTCAGTGTAAACCGGCTTCAGGGGCAACATGGCTGCCCTAGCGAACAAAAAGACACATAAATGTAAGCATTTTTGGCATTAATAAAGATTTTAATGAAAAGTAATCATTTGTTTTATGTTACATTCAATCGTGAGTTCATATTTACGGTCATGTTACTCAAAGAGATGTTTGCAAAAAATCGCTAATATTTGCTAACGTCATATCATTACAGACTGCACGATAGTGCCACAACATATTTTCATGTCTGATCAGGGCGATAACCACCGTAGACATTGAGGGGGGCTAGTCCCCCCAATAATTAGAAATCACTAAACCCTTTTCTCAAATATTGCCAATACGAGAGAGAGAGAGAGAGAGAGAGAGAGAG